CCTCCAAATAAATGTAGAGTTACTCTAGTTTTCTCTTTATGTAACTGTCTTTCTAAAAAACCCAAATGTGGATTTTGGGAGAAGTGTTACTCATTTAAGAAATTAGGTACCATACCCTTTTAAAATTCTATATCAATACATAATGGACCAGGAAGAGAAAATAAAGTATGATTCTATTAAAATGTAAAATAGAACTTTGTTTTCAGTTCAACGCTTTCTTTGTTTTTAGTAGAAGATCTTCGAGTTTTGTTTTTGTTAATTACTAAGGTTGCTAAGAAAAAGATACTAACATTTGCTGTAATTCTTTCCTTACTCCTGCTTGATTTCAGTCAATGAATGGATATATAGTAGATATGAAATGGAAGATCGTTATTGTCATTGCATATGTTTATACTGTTTGTATTCTGCTTGCCTCAGTTATGTTACTTTATGTTCCCATATGTGAACATAATGCTAACCAGCACATTTTACTTTCTGGTATTCCTATTATTTTCATTTCAGTATTCCCTAATATTGAGCACTTTGTTTGTTTAAAAATGTCTTTTTGCTGCTTTAAAAAGCAATACAATGAATGTTTTCATATAAACAAGTTGTTCTTCTGATTAATCCTTTAGGTTTAAACATGGATCTTCACATTACTGACCCAATTAGAAAAAAATATATCCAAGCACAGTTAGAAAAAAAAAGTGGCATAAAAAGAGAAAGGGTGTGAGAGAAATTAACACAGAGTCTGGGGCTGTGTTCTCCCAGAGAAGCTGCATCCTGCATGTAAAACACTGGTAATATCATCTGTTCTTCTGTGCGAGTGGAACAACGCTACGTTGCAGGTGAAATTATTTCTCATTGTTATTTCACTGCTGCCTAGAAATTCTAATTGTAGAGCAGAGTCATAGTTCAGTGCTTTCCAGAACAACTCTCATTATTTCCCACAAAGAAATAGATGTCATTATAGTATCGAGAACTTTAGGGTGACTTTAAGTTTGATGAACATCTTCCTTATTCACTGTAATATCCCCAGCACAGCCCCGGAACATAGTAGGTATTCAATAAACACAGTCACAGGAATACAGGAGGGTTTCGGTAAATACCCCTGAAGAAATGCCTGGTGGCAGAAGGGGCTCCTTTCCCTTAAGGCAATCACTGTCCCCTACTGTAGAGCATATTTATGGATGGGAAAGTTTTCAAACATCAGATACCACATAGCTCCTAAAGAATGTACTTAGGAACATCTGCTGACTGGGGATTTAGGCCAAAGGTAGAAAGAAATGCTCTGATGTTCTCATCATCTGATTATTAAGGAAATAAAATAAATACTTATTATTTTTAAGAGGATAGAATAAATGCATAAAGAAATGGGTAAATGCTCAATAAAGACAGTAACATGTCTGAACCAGAAGATAGTCTGATATAGATCACATTTTCTACATTTGTATTAGTATATTCCTCACTGAAGGGAGTCAGCCCTTACAAAGGGGGATGAGATGACAGCTGGCCTTGGTGATATTAAGTGTGTTTATAAGAGTTAAAGACCAGGCTAAGAGATAGGAGAAAATAAAAGGGTTGGTTAGTTTTACAGAAATGGTCAGGGTTTCTACGACACTGCAATGGCAAGATCAAATATGCATCTTTTTCTCATGGGAATGTGAGAGGCATTTAAAACATGGGCCAAAATGTTTCTCCCCAACAAAATAGTTAGGATATTAAGAACTCAAAAGATCTTGAAATTTTCATACATGATGTGATCTATGAAGCAATATCAATTTTTATTTATGCTAATAACGGTCTGGAAGAGTCTCCTGGGATTTGCAAGGGCAAAAAAGGAAAGGGATAGTAAAGCCATCAAGAAACCACAGACAGAATTAGCGCAAGCCTGAAATCCAAGGAAAGACGGTGAACTGCAAAGGGCTAACTTCCCTTAATTTAACCCGAGTACCCTGCTCCGATATCCTAGACAACACCACAAAGATTCCTCTGAACGGGGTTAGATCAGCGCTGACATGGCTGGTCACAGTAAAGCATTTCCAAGTCAAACATGGAATTAAAAGGAAAATTCAAGTCTTGCTTAATTTATGGACTTCTCTTAGAGAGAGCATCAGATCCTACATTAATGTTGTAAAACAGCATTTGAAATTCAGCCATTGCCTACCTAAAACATCACTGTTAGAATAGTTTGATGTTCCTAAATATTCTCTTTAAATACTGGTACTTAGTACTTCATATTGTCATGGTGGAGTAAAAGGTTTGACCTATTCCTAATTACAGTATTAATGCGGTGATCAGCGTGATCACATGTAAACAGAAATCCAAACTACACATGCCCCTGGATTTCAGCCAGAGGGTCCTGGTTCCAGCTGCAATGACATCAGCAAGAGAATAATCCGCTCAGCTAAACAGGCAGGAAGAATAAGCAGCGTGGTCCCAGGAATCGCTGTTTTGATTCCAAGTTATCAGCGAGGATGTGATGGCTTAGACTTCCTATCGGCAGTAGTGACAATGAGGCACACACATCTGATGTGATGTCTACGTGGCACCCACATGCAGAGACTTCCCCTTTCCCCCGACTTCCTCAGCCACCAAACCCTAGAGCCATACTTCATTTTTCAGTGAACACCCTGGGAACAGTCATCCCTTTGTACTAGAATTAGACTCAGAAGAAAACACTGGCCCTGAGTAAGTGAGACAGCTCAGTGCACCAAGGGGATTTATCATAGCCTAAGATCTGCCTAATGAAAATAATCCCCTAACTATGATATGGAAGGCTGCATTCTCTCTCCAGTTAGAAAACATACTGCTGCTGGGAGAGGAGGAAGCCAGCACTCCAAGATTAGCAGGAAACAAAATGCTGTTCTTAGAAGGCCTGGGAGGAGAGAATTCTGAAGAACTTCTGCAATCGAAACAATGATCCAAGTTCCCCATGATGCAAGAGTTTCAATGTGTTGATTCAAGTCAAGAAACAGCCAAGTTTATACCCAGTTATTAAAATACAACCTTGGCCAGTATTAATGTGGGCCAATCTAAACACATCTTCCTACCTAACAACATTTCTAAAAATCTGATGTTCAGAATGGCAATGGTCTTCACGAGCAAGGCAGTCACCTTAGTCCATGACTTGTTCCTTAGACGATTTTTGGAATTGGCAGAAATTACCACTGACTGGCAAAAGGAACTGAGAAGAGAGTGACAATATGGTGCCTGTATCTGCAACTGCCACAGAGCCCAGTGTTTTGACATTGTTACTGAAACAAGCTCAACTATTTATGAGAGCTAAGTTGAATCAAACAGTTGGTATGGCAGAAAAAGCATGTTTGTGAAGTCTTTTTTATCTAGAAAGTCACTAAAAAAAAAAGGAGGAGGAAGCGAAGTAATCACCCAAACACAAATACCTCCAAAAAAATCAAATAGCATTGTCAAGTGGGAAAAGATACCTCCCATCCCCATTTTAATAGCACCCAGCAGACTAGGCTGCCCAGGCATCTCGGGCAATACATCACTGTGGACAGCTCTCTCTTCTGATAGCTGAAAGTTCCCTCTTGATATGCCTAAAGAGTTGTCTTTTTCTATTAATTATTTTGAATATATATCTCTAAAATGAATCACAAGCCCTTTTGCCTCCTTAAACAGAGAGCAGTATACAAAATTAAACATTCTTCTTGATCTCTGGATTATGAAAATTTGGCCTCGTACCATTTGATGGGGCACTGTCTGTACACAGGTGTGGACCAGGGCAGCAGCACCACCTGAGAATTTGAACAGCATATACTCAGAATCCTCCTCGACCTATGGGCTCAGACACTCTTGGGGTGAGGTCAAGCAACTGTTTTTAACAAGCCCTCCAGGTTTGACATAGGCTAAGGTTTCAAAACCAGTGTCACCCACTAAATGGCTCTGAATTCCTGTGCTCTTATAGACTTTTCTGTCCTTTTTCAATGATTTTCCTTCTACTTGCTATTGAGTTATTACTTATTTCTGCCCATCGTGTAGCTGCTTCTATGGGTCCTTCTCCCTTCCAATCTGCTGTATCTAACCTGTTATAGGCTTAGAAGTCAGTCATCACAGTTGTTAAACATCATGTGTAAAATACAAATACATAGGATCAAATGAGTCAAGAACTGAATGAGAACTGGAAAAGCCATGAGGAAAGTGCATAGTTCTAAGGACATATATTTTGATGACCTTTTTTTCTTTTCTTTTTTTCTTTTTTGGCTACTTAGAGGCCTTTCTGCTTACTTTTCAAATTATACACTATTTACTTGTTTTCACTCATGATCAGTAGCAGAGGTTGCCGAATAACCAAGTGCCAGTAGATGAAATGATTCTGTGGTTTACAAGTGAGTCAATGAAACATTCACCTGACTTTTTAAAACAAAACTACTATAATAACTACTATTAAGCATTTTCTATGTGACAGACACTGTGCTAAGCATTTTGTATACATTGTTTAATCAGATCCTCACACCTTGAGGCAGATATTAGCTCCATCTTAGTTAAGGAAACGAGGCACAGAGCGACTGAGGAACTTTCCTAAGATCACAGAGCTATTAAGAAGCAGGCTGGAACTACTCAGGTTAGCCTTCCTTTTTCTTCCTTTTTTCCTTTCTTTTTCTTTAATAGCATTGGGCTAATTAGTAAAGAGGCAGCCAGTATGAACTGAAAGCTTACTAGTAGAAGAGAGAGGTAGAGATAGGATGAATCTTGAGAGTGGCATAGGACTGCAATAAATGGTCAATATTCAGACAAAGGCATACATGTAGCCTTCCTAGAAAGGAACCAAGGAAGACAAATGACTCGTCATGCCATCCTATCTGGAAAGTCAAAGCCTGCCCGTGTCCATGGCAGGAGAGACCTCCCAGTTCCTCCCATGTACTCCCTGTGGGGTGCCGTCAGCGCTTTCTCTGCTCCCTGCCTGAAGCCGACCCACACTTTGGAGAGCCATAAAGGATTTTCTAATCTATTTCCCACAGGGGTCCATTTCCCTTTTATGCTCTATTTGGGGTCCTTACCGTTATTAGTTAAGCTTGTTTAAAGCACACAGGATCTTCATATTGGTACACCTCATGAGGTCAGAATCTTCTGGCACATGGCTGAGATGCTGTAACTGATAGCCACTGACCTTCCAGAACACTATAAACTGCAATGTCCTCTTTACTTCTGAGTTTGTTTGTTGGTTTGACTGCTTTAAAACAAAATAGTGAAAGAAAAGAGGTTTCAAGTTGTCTTTTTTTTTTTTTTTTTTTTTTTAGCCTAAGTAGCACTATGCAGCTTTCAATGGCACCGGGAAATGATGTTTGGTGTTCTCTAACATTTTAATATACAAACAGGCGCCCTGGGTGAATCCTGGTGCAATGAGACATAGTGGGCATGTTAAAAAGAGAGCATTTAAGAAGGTGTGTCAGGAAGTATCAAGGCCGACCTCGTGCTCCCCTCTCCTTCCTCCTTAGAGATTCTGGAAAATCTCCATTTCTTATAGAGAAAATCAAAAGCAAACTTTGTATCTCACCAACTTGATAATAATCCATATTTAATCACATAAGTGGGTTTCTGCTTTCTAAATTTCAAACAATCTTCTTTGAGTTATTTTAGAAAAAAAAAATCCATCTTCTACAGCAACCACCTACAGGAATGACTGAATTAAGAGGGAAAGACTGTTTCATAAGTGAGCTGTCTTCACATTCTGACATAACACTCACGCCAGAGGAAATGTGAGAGGCACATTATCAGCCTTTGTGTGGATGAGGAAGACACTATATAAGAGAAAATGTAAGTGGAACACAGTCTTATCCAAAGTTTACCAGGTCCTGGCATATAAAGTGCTTTATCGTGGGCTTTTATGGAACTCTAAATGGTCCTGTTGTTTATAGAGTTGGGCTGGAGGTGGCTTTTGCCCTTCCACACTTCAAGCACCAGCTTGCCTGGCGGATGCCTCGGGGAGAGGCAGAAGGTAGCCCTGGAGCCCTGGCTCCCTGGTTCCTGGCAGACAGATAAGGAAAGAAGCTTAAGACCTCCTGACTCTGCCGTGCCTGGTTCTCTGTGGAAACAGCATTTCACGGCACTGTGCACGGACCAGTGAAGACTGCCCATCACTTCCTCTCTCTCGTGACCTTCATCTTATCTTACCAAAAACAACAGAACAGCCATGCCCTAAAATTAAAGTGGGCCTTTTTAGGTTTTATTTCTTAAAAGCTCTCTCCTAATTACCAGAAGGTTTTCTCAAGCCTCTTGTCAAATTGCTGGAAGATTCCAAAGACTTCAAACTGCCCATCTCCTGGAACTGGAAATTCCCTCGCCAAAATCACCCGTTTAAATCACAGACAGAGATCACATGCTCCCAGCCACCATGTCTGTCTGGACTAAGGCTGTCTTTAGCTTTCATTGCATATAAAGGTCCTTCTAGGGTAGACCTTCCAGCCATGGAGGTAACTCCTCCAATAAAGGCCAAGACCTCTTAGGGAAGCAGAAGTAGAGGCCTGCTTTGCTATGAAGGGTTCACCAGCAAACTCCAAAAGCCCTTATGTGAAGGGTACATATATAGAAATGAAAGTGTGAATTAAACTGACATTAAACACTCAGTTATGCTTGGAATTAGGGTCTGCTTTTACTTCCTTTGAAAAATTCCATCAAGGTAGAATCCCATCTCTCTTTGTAATCCCCCCCGCCCCCAATTGATACACATTGCCAGTAGTTACTGAAGCAGAAGGAAAAGAAATATAATTATTGCCCAAATTGCTGGCTCTACTGATGGTGCTATTTCTCATATAAAATGCAGCCGATTCCGTCTGCCTTTAGAAACCAGGAGCGGCCTTTCGCCCCCAGAGCTGTAACTTTTCAAAATCCATGTCTCTTGGCTTTAGCATCTTCAAGACCTTCTGGATTAAACTCAGTCCAGACAGTCTCCGCCAGCCTTCACAAATCATCGGCCTTGCAAAGCTAACAGTCTGCTGTGAGGATCTGGGCCCTGACTCATCCATATTAAGGTTTTGAAACCTTTGGCAAAGCCCTGCCTTAAAACTCTCTTCTAGCCTACACAGGAGTTTTAAGTTTTACTCCCTGTTTAAAAACTAAGCCAACGCGTAAAAATCCAAAGCTATATATCAAGTGACTCGGCATGCGACTATTCTAATAATTCCAGGGGCTTTGCTCTACCCAGTCCCCTCACCACCCAATCCTGGCACCTCCATCGGACAGCAGGCTCCACCAGAATCAGAGCAAAGTCCAGCTCCTGGCATGAAGAAGCTGCTCAGTAAGTTTCTGCTCAATTGATGGATGACATCCTCACCTTTCAAAAGGATTTACTCAAGGTCTTCCCTGTGTGTAAGAGCTTAAATAGCCAGGCCTCTTAGTGCCCACCGTTAGCAATGATTGATTTACACACAGTTCTCAGGGACACCTCCATGTCTCATGCACTAGGCAGACGGAAAAGGGTGGGTGAGAGCAAGTCAATCAGATGTATGAAACAGACTGGAGCAGCAGACAGCTCTGATTCACAACTTGGCTACTGGGCAGGGCCAGTAACTACTCCGAGCCTTAATTTTCTGACAGCAGAAGTGGGAATAATACCTTTGCACTTGCGTTGAGGACTAAATAACTTATTCAGTAGCGAACATGGTGTCTTTATTGCATAGAAGACATGCAACAGAGGTCCGCTCCTCATATGTGCCGATTCTCTGAACAACGTCTGCATCTCTCTGCTCGCTGGCTCTCCATAACAGAGGTTTTAGGAAGTATCTTTCTGACACTTCAACACAATTCCCTCTCAGGTACAGACCTCTCAGGCCACACAGGTCAGTGGTTTGCCCAATTTGACATGTATGTGGACAGGTGTGCACTGGGAATTAATCTAAGAGTCTACCTTAGCTAAGAAAACAAGTACATTCATAAAATAAGGAGGGAGGAGGGGAGAATCATATTATTAAAGATAACCAGTGTGAACTCTCAGGATTGAATAATTACAAAAGAAATGGTGTTAAGGGAACGCCGGCTCTGTTTTCACTAAGATCACCAGAGGCAGGAAGCATATAGAACACGGGAGGCCTGTGTGGGAGCGGCTGCAGGAAGCTGTAGCCTGACCTTGGCCGGCAGCGCCAGCACTGCCCCCGGTCCTTCCATTCCACCAGCGGCGCTTCCTTTCCAGGAGAGCCCATCCAATTTAAGTCTTGATTAGGATCACTTTGAGCCTAATATCTTCAGATCAGTGTTGAGAGATGAACCGCAAATCGTTTTGTGCCAATTGTTCGAACATCAAATGAAGGAGCTTTTTTACCACACAGGCTATTTTTTATCTCAAAGACTTCCGAACTTTTATGTAAATGGGTTAGGCCCAGCGTCGCTTATAGGAGCAACTGCAACAATAATGTTCCATATGAATTCCTGAATGATGCATTTTGGCGTGCTTTGCCTCCAATATCAACATTTATTGGGATATTTTCACTAGTTTGGAAGCAGAGAGAGGGACTCGGGATAGTAATCAAGGGAATCACTAAATATCATAACCCCAGTGGCTCACTCAGGATCACATTTTATAGGGAGTGTGTGTGTGTGTGTGTGTGAGAGAGAGAGAGAGAGAGAGAGAGAGAGAGAGAGAGAGAGAGAGAGAGAAAGAGAGAGAGAACACTGAAAAAGAGATCCAAGGCTCTCAGAAAGAGGTCGATTTCCTCTACTACTTCAGAGACATGACTCTGAACCCAGTTATCAAAATGGCCAACAGTTTGCAAATCTGTCACACGGATTCTCTGAGAAGTGCTGGGGACAGCCACAAAGCCCACTGAGGGAAGCAGCATAAATGGTATTTACAATAAAACCTGCTACAATTTCCATATGCTGTTAAATTATAATGCCCCAGAATATATAAAAGTAATTGGGGGGGGCGGGCGTATGACTGCTAGGATTAAATTTCTAAAATGGCAGAGTTTTCTGTTTGCCTTTACTCATCTGCCAAGATTAGGCAGCTAATTCTATTTGTAATAATAAATATAACATAAGACTGAGTCCCCTTCCCTGCATTTAAAGTTTTCCAACATTTAAAATTTACTCTGCAGGTAATGCATAATGTCCATCTGAACCTATTTCAGATGCTTTTGATGAACCAAAAAGGAAGGATAAATTGGGGGATAAAGATCATACAATAATTACAGTGCATACTGGTAATTTTTAAATGCATACAGAAAGCATCTACATGGAATATGTTATTTAGAATTTATGTTATCTTAAATTAAGTGACCACTGTTCACAGTCCAACATATTCAGATTGTAAGCTCTGGTCCTTTCAGAAAAAAAAAATAGTTTTTTTTAAAAAACACCTTAAACTACACAATACTTGGTTTCAAAGCTTGACAATTTAGACATTTTGTGTGCGAGTTTGACTACGGTAGTTAGCACAGCCATCCTTGTAAGTCAGTGGCTTGGAACAACCATTTTGTTGTAGTGAGCCAGGACTTTGGGAAGGGCTCGCTTGGTTTTCTCAAGGCTACAGTCACAGGTCCGTCGGCTCTGCATCATGTGAAGCCCCACTGGGCTGGCTGCCCACCACAGTTCATCTGCAAGGCAGCAACTGACAGTAGCTGTTGGCTGGGTGGTCTACTTACTGCAAGTGGCAACCAGAGGCCTACCTGCAGAGCCGTCTCAGCTGTCTTACATTACAGCTGGCCTCTCCCAGGCCAAGGGTCCCAGGAAGACTAAGCAAAGTGACTGTGGCCTTTCTGACCTAACCTTGGGAACCTTGGAATGGTCACTTCCATTGTATTCTATTGGTCCAGGTAGTCACAAGACGTAAGAGGATGTGGACCTCACCTCTCAATGGGAAGAGTATCAGAAAGTTTTGGTACCATGTTTTACAACTGTCACAATGGTTTTTCTCCATCTTTGCATTATCTATAATTCCTTGCAGATAGCTTAATGTGTGTCCATAAACCTGAGCACACAGGCTTGGTAGATAGGGGGTGTTCAATTAATGTTTGGAAGGCATGGCAAGAATACTTTTCTCAGAGGGGAGGTATGGCATGACCACTAACTTGAAGTTGACTCACAAGGGAATGTTTAAAAATATATAAGTGCTTAAACAAGGGTCTCTCTCTGCCTAGGCACTTTTCACACTAATTGGGCCAGTTCTTGAGTTTGAAAGAGAATGAAAACAAGCACTGTTCAGTAAAGAGAAATCTACCAAGAGCTCATTATGTCAGTTTCTGAGTGAAAAAAAAAAAAAATGTGGAATTGAATCTTGACCCTCATTATTTACAAGTTGGACCTTAAAACACATTCTTTCGCCCCCTCCAAAATCTGTGCTCTCATTTTAAAAACAAGAACACATAATGCCACCTATCTCATATTGTTGTCTTGAGGATTAAATGTAAACAGCTAGAAAAGGCTAAGAATAGGGCCAGATGTATAGTTGGCACTTAATAAATATGTGTTGTTTTTGTATCACTATTAACACTATAAAATTCTTAGGCCATTCCATAGTACAGGATAAGCACTCCATAAAAGTGACTTATTATTTAGTAACCCTCATTCTGTCCCATCTACCTTCCTACTATAACCAAACATTGAAGGGATTGCTGACAAATTTCACAGCCTGACAGATCAGACTTTCAGATCTTCTTATCCTCCTTTCTTTACATTTTAAGAAAAAATCAGGCTTTGTAAGTGGTTTGAATAGTCACATAATCAATACACGACATTTATTAGCTTCGATTTGACATAAGAAAACAATTTTCACCTGATTACCGCAACTTCAAAATGTAACTATTCCGTAGGCAAAATGTGGAGTCTTTTTCTTTCCCCAAGGTTCTGCTACAGAGCGGCTGCCTTTTTCTTGCGCCGAGGAAATCATGGCAAGAAACAAAATTCACGTGCTATGTCTAGGGGCGCGAGGCTGTGAAAGAAGCAGGGTGGCTTTGGCAGCAGCGGGCCTGCGGAGCAGCTTATAGGTAAGTCACACCACAGAGGAAAGGCACAGGGAGTTGCTGGTTTTTTATAAATACTAAGCAAAAAATGAGCCAGACGCTAAGTTCTGTGAGGATAGTGACAATGTCTGTCTGTACTGCATTTCTTTTCTTTTTTTTAAATCATTTTTTTATTTTTCAGTGACAATTGACATACAATATTACATTGGCTTCAGGTGTCCACGCCAGTGATCAGGCGCTCTATCACGCACTAAGTGATCACCCTGATAAATCTCGGACCCATCTGACACCATCCATAGTGATCAGACTATCATTGTTTATTCCCTGTGCTGTACTTTGCGTCCTCCGCGCCAGCTTCCAGGATCTCGTGCCTGTTCCATCTTAGGTGGCCTCCTTTGTCCCTCAGTTCCTGGGGACTCGCACCACGCCTTGCCATTGCTCGGAGGTTTCCCAGCAGCTGTCCACGTGCGGCCGCAGAGCCCACGCGTGCGCGTGGACTTGAGCATCTCATGCGCACGCGCGCTCTCCTTCCCCTCAGAAATACCATCCTCGGAGCCGCAAGGCTGCCCTGAACTTGTTCCATCCAGCTGACTCTGCCAGCCTGTTCCCCGAGATGCATTCCTGCAGCTCAATGAAACCGTGCAGAGGCACACGCTGGCCCAGCTTTCTAATTTTAGGAATGTTACACGGAGGTGAGACCCCCTCTTCCCCCATGTAGATTCCCATCGCCCTGCTAGCTTCAAATGTTAAAAACAGAGGAGGGAAGACGCCTGCTTTGTTAATACTGAGAACTCCAAAGGGGCCGAGAATAAATATAAACACATACACACCAGCCCAGGACTTTAAAAAAAAAAACACAACCTCACAGTAACCATCCTTAAAACACACACACACAACACAATGAAAATGTATCGACAGACATCCTCTTTCAGATTCAGTAACACAGAAAATCTTTACATGGATCGTTTTACCAAGGACCAGGGTAAATGTTTTTTAAAAAGAGCATCTGCCTTATGTTCTCAGTGGCCGGCTAGCCAGATGGTGAGAATATCATTAGTTAAGAAAGCTCTCATTCATTTTCCGCGTGTCCCCTGGGCAGGCTGGTGTGGGGTGCAAGAATGTCCTAGAATGCACTACTTGGAGGATGTGTGCATGTCTGAGCTACGAGGCCATGCGGTGGATGTGGGGAAGGAAAGAACAGACAGCCTGCTGTGATCCAAACAGCAGCCACCAACACCTCCGCACTGGCTTGTCACCCAGACGCTCCTGGCTTCCCCTCCTCCCGTTCCCGCAACAGTATCAGTATGAAGAAAACCATTTAGAGGCCACAGCAGCTGCCAATAACCCCGCCTCTACATGTAAGTATCCCACA